TGAGTGCTAACCTGCAGTGCACTTGACTTTAACTTTTATTTGAATACTACTACCTGAGAATTAATTTAACAATACACTTTCCCCCTCCTGTAATAGTTGCAGCTTCCATGGCATTCAGCCCTTACATAGCATACTTGTGAATTCAAGATTCATAAATATAACTTAAGGCGTAGTTTTCGTAACAAGGGCACTACTGTGCTTCCAGTTCCAAGTGACTGGCATTTTCCAGTGTCCAGTGAAACCCCGAACACAGCGGCTAAAGCTTCTAGCTACCTAAATCTATCCTAGATTACCAGATGACAGTACAAACGGTAATCTAGCAGGCGACGTACATAACACAAGCCCCAGCTACAGCAGCTCTACACAGAGTGACCTCTCCATTCCAAGCAGCTCTGCCTAGTTTATCAAGTCTGCAAACCGTCCAGAGTCACAGAAAACTTTGGATGCCTCACCAGCTCCTCTTCCGCTGGCCACAGGTTACTGCTACATGGGCAGGTACGTGGAGGGGAGAAAGACGCAGCAATTGTTTTAGTGCCTTCACTTGATAAATGACAGGAACACTTTCAAAGGGCATATTCCACCACAAAGCTTGCTGGAACTTGATTCTCAGATGTGCTATTTTTGCTCTAACACTAGAAAACTGTTTTAGGAAAGTACATTTTGATTTGTATGTATATCCATTCGATACATAGCTCTCTATCACTACATAAACAAAACCTACATTGGCTATTTCTTCCGGTTAAAGTGTTTCAGGCTTATGCACAGTGAGCTCAGGTTGTACTTAAACATGTAAGCTTTTATTACATAAGGACCTGTAACACTGCAGTTTTGGTAACAGGCTTGCTGCAAGTTTGAATTTACCTTACATTTTGCACAGAAATAATTAAATACACTTCTGAAACGTACCTACAAACTAGGATGTATTTCTTGCCGAATAAACACCAAATAAGATGTCCATTTGCTCAGCCAACAACGATAAACAAATTCACGCCAGACAAAAGAGTTGGCTAACACTGTAACCCACTGTGTGCCTGCCCAAATTTCAGACAGTGCAAGGTTTGCAAGATTCTACCCCTTGGTAGACCAAAGTCTGCTATGGTCTAGACCACAACATCTGTCACAGTCTCAATCTGTTTATTTTATCATGAAAAGCCAAGATCTGAGAAAACTCATCCTCGCCAATCAGTGATATACCACCACCATTAACAACTGTTTTTGCAAAGCCGGTATAAAGTACTGATGCAAAGTACTTTAAAAAAAAAAAAAAACCAACACAAAATTACCTAGACTACTACTGTTTTTCTTACTATTGCATCCAATACTGAGCATAAAATAGGATTAAAATTTTCAGGTTGGGATCTCCAGTTCCATACCTGTTAGAAAAATCACTCAGTTACAGAGAGTATTTTTACAGAAGAATTCAGTTCTTCGTAACACGTTCTGTATTCAGATTCAGCATGCTCAGTTCATTAGTTGAAATGAGAGCGCCAGCGTTTTCTCGTCAGATTTAGAGGTTTTTCTTGTCTAATATGACTTATCATCAATCTGCTTAAGACTAGACTAGCTAAGTGAATTTACACTGTTTTTTAAGAACAGATACATAATCCATATGGATACAGACATAACTATAATTGTCAGCCACACCATGCTAGCACCACCACTGACTTCATTAAGAAAAACGTGTGTTCCTACACATCAGCCTTTCAAACTACAGCACGTAAGCACTAGCCAGATTAGAAACATCTAAATGCATTCTTCACACATCTGAAATGTGTTTGCTGATGGTGCCTATTTTTTCATTTCGATGGCAGCAGATAAAATCTAATTGCCACTAGTTAAAATAATTCAAAGTTGAAAAGAAATACCATTATTGCTTCTGAACCACCGATAAGAAGCTAGAATTCCTATAAACAGACCAAACTTCACAATCCACTCGTCAGTCGGGCTGCCGAAATCGTGGGCACGTTATTACCACATATAAAATCATACTTACATTTCGATTAAATTTTGTGAAGGAATGATGCATATAAAACCTGTGCATGTAAACAATTGCAGTATTTATCGTAAGCTGAGATCTGGAAGATTAAATTAAGGAAACGCTACATATTAAGGAAATTGTTTACAAGAACTGAAAGCAATGCGCTTTCTCCATCAATCACCGCTTTCAACATACTGCCTTCAGCTGAAAATGAATTAAGGACGTGACACTTCAGAACTTAACCGATATCAACACATACTTGACCGACACTAACACGCATCCTTCCCATCTGCTTGGCAGACAACGTGGAGACTCCTATCCCACCCCAGCCACATCTCACCCACCGAACGAAAACTCCTCGATGGGCGACGCACGCTGAAACACTCTCTCAGGCGCTGCTGTTTTGTTCCAGTTCAACTATTTCAGTAGGGATCTGAGGTTTTAGTCTTACTCTGATCTGTTGGGGTTTTTTTTTTTTGTTTTTAAATCAAGCGAAAGAACGGCCGACGCGGAGATGCCCGTTTCAAGGAAGACGAGTCCGCGAGCAAGTGGGATGCACTTTACAAGCGCCTAAGCCCGCAGCTACCGACACAAACGCGGCTAAAAGGCGAGGCCGCGGACCGGAGGCGCCCCTACATCCAGCCCGAGCGCCCGCCACCCGTGCCTCTCTCTCACGCCGACAAAGAACGCGAAGCGGG